GCTTAGCTGTAAGGCAGAGGCAGGAATCCAAGACTGAGTCAGGGAAACTGAGGTCTGCATCCAAACAATCTCCAGGAAGGACCTTCTGTTTCATAGCATGTTGAAATCAGGCTTTCCATAATACCTGGAAGGCTGGGGCAGCAGTTTCTTAGCATCTTAAGAATCAGTCTCATAGTGGCACCTCTCCAACTAGGTGGTAGCTCTCTCATGGGCCTGTTGCCACCCTTTTTATGTCTACAGGTGACATGGGCATTTTGTGTGGCACAGCTTCTTTAAATCTTTAGTCTTGGGGTGTGTGTGTGTGTGTGTGTGTGTGTGTGTGCATGCGTGTGCTCATTCTTTTCATAACACTGTATTTTTGGGGATAGAGGGTAGTAGGGGATGTATCTGAGGATTGATTTGTTTGGAAGATATGACCCTGAAATTTTCCTCTACTCTGGTTGGGACTGTGTCAAGCCAATCCTTCATTTGGAAACAGTTGGAATCTTTAAAAGTGCTATAACATCTTTTTAAAATACAATATTTCAGTGGCATTTTTATACAAGACCATAATTTTAAGAGAAAATTGGGCAGTTGACATTAAGAATATTTTTCTTATACCACCTTGAGAATAATTTTTATCATGTGAGATCCTTTTTTTAGCCCCCTTGATAATTGTGTGTCATCTGTTTCATGAACCTTGTGTATATTGAGCTCATGTTGGTGAGGGGAGGATCTGTTCATCTCAATCTTAAAGAACATGAACGTAGAGCCACAAACAATATCATATCAGCTACAGATGAGAATATGAAGAGTCATCATATTTTGAGATAACTTCAATGGGATCGAATGGCTAAGGTTTTGATTTTGAAAAATTCCTCACTTGAAAGAGAGCTCTAGTTGCTTATCAGTTTCAGGAGTTTTTGGGTTGAGGCGATGGGGTCTTCTATGTATACTATCATGTCATCTGCAAATAGAGACAATTTGGCTTCCACCTTTCCTATTTGAATACCCTTTATTTCTTTTTCTTGCCTGATTGCTCTGGCTAGAACTTCCAGTACTATATTGAATAGGAGTGATGAAAGAGGGCATCCTTGTCTAGTGCCGGATTTCAAAGGGAATGCTTCCAGTTTTTGCCCATTCAGTATGATATTGGCTGTTGGTTTGTCGTAAATAGCTTTTATTACTTTGAGATACGTTCCGCCAATACCGAGTTTATTGAGGGTTTTTAGCATAAAGGGCTGTTGAATTTTGTCAAATGCCTTCTCTGCATCAATTGAGATAATCATGTGGTTTTTGTTTTTGGTTCTGTTTATGTGGTGAATTACGTTTATAGACTTGCGTATGTTGAACCAGCCTTGCATCCCCGGGATGAATCCTACTTGATCATGATGGATATGTTTTTTTTATGTGCTGTTGCAATCGGTTTGTCAGTATTTTATTGAAGATTTTTGCATCTATGTTCATCATGGATATTGGCCTGAAGTTTTCTTTTATTGTTGAGTCTCTGCTGGGTTTTGGTATCAGGATGATGTTGGTCTCATAATATGATTTGGGAAGGACTCCCTCTTTCTGGATTATTTGGAAAATGAGAACACGTACACAGGGAAGGGAGTACTACACACTGGGGTCTATTGGGGGGAATAGGGGAGGGACAGCGGGGGGCAGGGAGCTGAGGAGGGATAGCCTGGGGAGAAATGCCAAATGTGGGTGAAGGGGAGGAAGGCAGCAGAACACACTGCCATGTGTGTACCTATGCAACTATCTTGCATGTTCTGCACATGTACCCCAAAACCTAAAATGCAATAAAAAAAAAAGAAAGAACTAGTGAACAACAAAAAAAAAAAGAAAGAAAGAGAGCTCTACTTGAGACCCCTGCTTTTAGTGAAAGCCTTGAAAAAAAAAATGTGATTTGTGTAAATGGTGAGGCTGGACATAGACAGTGAATCTTCTAAAATTTTCTACGCACCATCAACCTAAACTGAAATTGGTGAGAATAAGAGTAGGGAAGAAGGGATTGAATGTGGCAATTTATTGTACTCCTCACAATCTTTACAGGGAGAATATTTTATTCCAAGTGTTTTGTTGGAATTTAACACTAATGTCTATCGATTGACATTATAATCCCTTCCACGGCAGATAGCCTTGACCTTCTGTTAGGAGCCCTCAAACATATGAAAGACAGGGGGATTCCTGGTGAAGGACCTTGTCAGAGCCCCAGTTCAGTCAGTTCACTGTACCTCTAAATCCTTGTAAGGACGTTCCTGATTTTGGTTTTCTTTTCTAACATCAGTCCCTATTCTACCGCTACATCCTGTGCATTTTCCAGGAATAAATAGAATTTATTTTTTCAATCTTGAAAACTCCAGAGTCTACATTTACAACCTAAGGACTCAACCACCCCTTTTGCTTCTCATATTACCATATATTATGTCCAGTAGGGCTAGGTTGTAATATTGCCCAACATCAGTTAGTATTTCTACTTTGTGACTTCTATTTATATAGAATGAATTAATTGCCAACTCTATTAATCTTGCAAAATCTATGAATCCTTAATGTTCAGTTTGCTTAGAATGAGTAACAGTGTATTTGTTTCTTCTTAGCTATGACTTCTTGCTGAGCTTCAGATGAGCTCCTTTTAGATAATGTGCCTTCTATCTTGGACAATTTATTCACTTTCATGTTCCCTGGAATTTATTGCTAAAGGTTGACGTGAATGCTTACAGTTTGGGCTCTAATGTAATCTCCTGAATGGCAATTAATAAATAAAAGATGGTTACTGTTGTTGACAGAGAATCAGGGCTTTCTCGGATAGTTTTCATCTTCATGTTTTCACCAAACTTCACGCCAGACATCCTAGGCATCGATGTTATAAAATATTTTCTGTAAACTCCAAAGCTTTTGCTAGTGCTTCAATACCCCTAAACCTCTGTGATGCCTTTTTTTTCTTGTCAGAAATGATCTTATTCAATTTCTGTTTCTTCAACTTATCTTCCTTCCTGGGAGTAAGAAATATGCCTCTTTCTGGAGTTAATAGTAACAAATCCTCAGTATTTATGACTTGCAAGTAATACTGAAATTTGTCCCCGAAATTTCTTGTATTTTTTTTTTGCTTAGTCTTATCCTTGTTGCATTTATTGAATATACACTGTCACCTCTAACATGTAGTGCTTATTGTCATCCTATAGATTACTCAAAGTGCAAAGTTGTCTCCTGTAAATTAATGATGAAGCTATGAAGCAATGTCTAATTTTTGCAATTTGCCTACTGGACTAGGCTCCAGGGTTATTCTGGCCTAATATTCTTATTTTAGAAATGAGGAAAATGTAGGGCAATTAAGCTGTTTGACCATAATCAAATAGAGGGTAGAGACCAAATACATCTTTAGACAGCAAAGTACATGGTACACAGCAGAAAAGCTGGAACTAGGCTTCCTCGGCCCACCTCCTGGTCTGGATGCTTGTTAAGTGTGTAACTTAAGACAAGTTATTTCAGTGCTATGTGCCTCAATTTCTGAATCTGTAAAACGGGGCTAACAGAAGTACCAGTAGCACAACTGTAAGGATTATAGTAAGTTATTGTGGGTAAGGCATTTAGAATAGTGCTCAATACAGACTAAGCACTTCATGCATTGTTAGCTACTAGGATTATTACCATTATGTTGACTGTTTTTAACATGCTCAGATGATATAAAATGGTCTGTATTGCTATTTCACTTCACTTGGCTGTATATGTGCATCCGGCCTTTGTTGTACTTCTTTTGTTTTCCTAAATGCTGTGTTAAGCTGCTTGTAGTAGTGTTCTTAGTGGCAGTGATAGTAGAAGCAAAAATAGTGACGAAAGTAATAAAAGATAGTGCCATTTATTGAGCCTCGCTAGGTGCTAGACATTGAAGTAGGTACTTTACATACATAATTCTTAATGAGTACTCCATCTATTGACAAATGGCACTGTCGTTTATTTCCAGAAATGCAAGTATAGCCTCTTCATGACGGTAGTCTCCTTCATAACTGAAAAGGCACATAAGCTGTGGCCCTGGTGGAAAAGCTTTGAATGTGGAAACAAGAGCCCTGATAGAATTCCTTCCATTATAAAGATAATCCTTGTGCTGCTAATATTTATATAACCTAATCCTGTTATTGATAATTGGGAGACTAGCTGGGGGTGAGAATGGAGGTCAGGGAATAGAGTAAGAGGGGGCAGGTATAGGGCAAGGCAGACCGCATAAATGAAAAACATTATATAACAGGAAAGAGATGATTAAAATTCAGGTGTGCTCTATATTTTCTGTTTTATGATTTTATATTGCGTAAAAGCTTGTTCCTTTTCTAGATGCCCAAACAGGAATACATTCAGAACAATAGCACTGACACCGAAAAGTTGTTTTCTTTCTTGCTTTACTTTATTGATTGATTGATTAAATAAATTGTATTTACCATACATTAATAGCCAGTAGAGCAAGGTAAAGTGTTAAGTTACAAAAATCACAGTCACTTCAATGTTTCTTTGTTTCCATGCCCAGTGTGTTTCTTACTAATCATATGAGCAACCATGGCAATGATAAAAGCTGTAATTTGTGGCGTGCCTAGGACAGGACTGGAAGAGAAGCTCTCATCGTGTTTGTGCTTGTATGTTTGTATGTGTGTCTGTGAGTTGGCATGTGTGTATACTCACATCACTCTCATTCACATTCATATAATCTCTAGAAATAGCTACAAGCTTTTAAATTCATATGTGTGTATGTGTGCATATAGATACACATGCATATACATTTCTACATGGAAATGTACATATAGTCATATTAAATCTTATCACAACTTTAGATAAGGAAACAGAGGCTCAGAGAAATCAAACCATTTGTCCAAGGTCACAAAAGCTGGCAAACCTGGAGTATAACCCAAACTCCCACCTACTTAGCACCCCTTTTTTGGGCTGTCCAGACAGAAATATTCTTAGAACAATAGCATTATGCCACTCTGCCCCATTATGAGAGGGGTGACCTTTTGCCCTTTCTTTTCCAGAATCTCCAAGCAAAGATTTTGGTCCAACTCTGGGTTTGAAAAAGTCCAGTTCCTTGGAGAGTCTGCAGACTGCAGTGGCTGAGGTTCGGAAGAATGACCTTCCCTTTCACAGGCCCCGGCCACACATGGTTCGAGGCCGAGGCTGCAATGAGAGCTTTAGAGCTGCCATTGACAAATCCTACGATGGACCTGAAGAATTAGAAGCTGGTAGGACAGTTTGCTTCCCTAAATGGTTTCTTTGTCTCATTATTATCTGCAAATCATGGACAAGAGTGTGTGCTTAACTACAGAGAAAAATGATTTAAGAATCCCAATTATATTTTTGATATTAAAAGTAATTCATTTTCCTGATATGTTTTGCCCTTTGGCTTAATGAACATAGAATTGGAGAATGCAATATGCAATTTATTTTACAGTGCAAGGCTAAAGAAATGTTCTCCTTCACTTTCCTACAAGGACCAACTGTCACTTACCCTTAGGATAGGAGCACTAAGTATGCAATTCTTGACATTCTCATTCGAGTCGTTAGAGACAGCATCAATCCAAGGACTCCGGCTGCATTTATTGGGTAGAAGCAGTTGGGATATTTTGTACTCAAAACTCTCTCTTCACCCTGTTTGTTTCCTGGCATGTGGGCTTTCTGAGCGGATCAAGGTTAACAAGCCAGCTTTCAGAGAGATTAGTACTTGAACACGTATCAAGCCTTTCATATTACCAGCTAAGCAACTGGTTTTCCCCACTCCCAGCATCAAATCTTGCTTGAAGTAACCAGATTTAGGCAATTAGATCTTCAAAGGGCACAAGTGACCACATGGAAGGGTAGAACTCCAGAGTGCTGTTATTCATTCTTTTTACATTTTACGTGTTTGCGTATATCTATATACTAACTGCCTGTGCACCTGACCATGGGTATTGATTCTTCTCCTCTGTACAGACGGTCTGTCTGATAAGAGCTCTCACTCTGGCCAAGGAGCTCTGAATTGTGAATCTGCCCCTCAGGGGAACTCGGAGCTAGAGGATGTGGAAAATAAAGCCAGAAAAATCAAAAAAGCAAAAGAGAAGGAGAAGAAAAAGGAAAAGGGCAAATTGAAAATCAAGGAGAAAAAGCGCAAAGAGGAGAATGAAGATCCAGAAAGGAAAATAAAGAAGAAGGGTTTCGGCGCCATGCTGAGGTACGGGCCTGCTTTGAAGGCAAAGTTGGGTTTGTTTCTCATTTTGTTTCTCCTGGTGAAACTCCTTTATATGTACTCAGAACAAAGTGCACACTTTCCCACATCTTCAGCTAAATGCATACAGCTCTCAACTGTGACTGTGCCTTTTCTCTTTCTGCAGAGGCAGAGGAGCTTTCTGGGGAAGCTTCCAGTGATGACAGGACACTGTCCTGAGTTTGTTGTCAAAGAAAGGTCAACACTGTGTCAGGCGCAGTGGCTCATGCCTTTGTAATCTCAGTACTTTGGGAGGTTGGGAGGATTGCTTGAGCCCAGGAGTTCAAGACCAGCCCAGGAGTTCAAGACCAACGTAGGGAGAGCCTTTTTCTTCTCTTTTTTTTTTTTGAGATGGAGTCTCATTTTGTCACCAAGGCTGGATTGTAGTGGCGCAATCTTGGCTCACTACAACCTTTGCCTTCCAGCTTCAAACAGTTCTCCTGCCTCAGCCTCCTGAGTAACTGGGACTAAAGGCATGCACCACAACACCCAGCTCATTTTTATATGTTTAGTAGAGATGGAGTTTCACCATGTTGGCCAGCCTAGTCTCGAACTCCTAACCTCAAGTGATCTGCCTTGGCCTCCCAATGTGCTGGATTACAGGCAGGAGACTCTATTTCTAAGAAAAAAAGATTGTCAGGCACAGCGGTATTCAGCTGTAGTCCCAAGTACTTAGGAGACCAAGGCCAGAGAATGGCTAGAGTCCAGTAGTTCAAGGCTGCAGTGAGCTATGATTACACCATAAAGGAAAGGCTAATGCTTAATAGAGGCACGAACAATACCTGCAGTCCTTTGTACCGAAGTGTTATGAAAATAAGTATTTCCACTGGCAACACAGGGAAAGTGAGAGGTGGGGAAGCCCTACATGTTACATCTGGCACACCTATCTTGAAATATCGGAGTCAGGGTAGATGAACCTCATTCCCCTGTAACTCTAGGTGTGCAGTGGCTGGGCCACTGGGCACATCACTTGTCACCTACAGAGGCGCTGTGATACAAGGAAGATGTCACCGGGTCTGGGGTCAGATGCCCCATTGTGGATCCATGACTCTTTACATATGAGTAACGGGGCTTCACACATACTGCTTAGCTTCCCTTAGCCTTACTTTCCTCACTTTTAAAATGAGGCCAGCATACTTCCTTTACTGATCCAGCATAGCTGTGAGACAAGATTTCATATGCTATATAGCCATTGACTAGGCAGGGCACAACAGGGCACCGTCAGAAAACAGCTTTGTTTCTTCTCTCACCTTCAAGTATGCACTGTTGAGGCTGCCTTCACCACACCGACGTTATCTCAGCTTTCTGGCAGATAGGTTTCTGGTCACTTTTGGGTAAAAGGAACAACCTGTTTGTTGGGGGCTAAAATGTTTAATCCAAATCAATCAAAGCTTTTTTCCTTTCTGCCTGTTGGATCTGAACCACAAGGAGCATCCTATGATATGGTGGGAGTCAGAATTCTACCTTCTCCTATTTCTCAGTCTTTGGAACCAGGAGACAAAGAAAGACAAGATTCAATAGGGTAGAATTTTACTGAACTGGGTATCTGGTGTAATCTGGCCATCGAGGAACCTTCGTGGTTATTTTTGTGGATTTTTTAGCGTGCTCCTTACTGTACCAGTCACTAATGGAGGTCGTTTTCCCATTGACCTATTCCCCTAAGCCTCTGACCTCAGACATACACCCCTGAGTCTCTTTATCGCAGTTGGTAGACTTCTTAGACAGGGCCAGTCTGAGACAGCTCTAGGCTAGCTTACTGCCATCACATTGACCTGGATCACTAGAGTTCCTGATCTCCTGCCCCTCCAAGTGATGCAAGTACAGCTTCTTCCTACTGTTCCACTTCTCCTCACCCCACCATAGAGATGTTCCAACCAGCCTTGCATCTTCAGACTTCTCCAGGCACGTCCCACACCAGCACTGGGCCTCCTCACTCCAGGAGCAAACATCAGACTCTCCAAAGAATGCTCTCAGGCATAGGGAAGGGAAGAGGCAGGCAATTTTTGCAAGTCACAAAATAAACAGGTAGGAAGTGGGGTGACAATCTCCTTTTATATAACTAACTCCAAATTCCCTGAGGGGTTTTCTTGTAGCCCTCTCACTTATTTTATTGGGGGTTAGAGGCAGAAGTACCTCTTTTTATTACGTTCTTTACTCCTATAATTTCTTCTCAAATTCATTGATCTCTATACTTCTCTTCCATGGGCTGAAGGTGAATGAGGGAGATGATGGTTCAGGGGCTGGTTTGGCCACCTCTTATGTAACCCTTAGGAGATATCTCATTTAAGAATTCTGGGTGTGTTTACTGCCATGGTTCTCATTTTGTGCTTGTCAATGGAAATTTCCAGATAGAAAGGAAAGTTCCATCATTCCATATATAAGTGACATTTAGGAAATATAAATAATCCTGACGCCAGTGAGCCTTCCCATTACATTTCCAATGCTCATGAAATGCTAAACAAGTTTCCTCAGGCACAAAATCTTCAGAGTGTTGTTGCCCCTGGATGTGTTATGACAAGACTCGCTGTGGTCCTGCTATCACCTGGACTGAGGTTACCCCAGCAAGCCTGATGTCATAATAGTATCTGACTATTAAAAAACAAAATTTCAGCTAGGCATGGTGGCTCAGGTATGTAATCCCAGCCCTTTGGGAGGCATTGGGGCAGATCACTTGAGCCCAGGAGTTACCAGGCAAGCTTGAACAATATGGCAAAATTCCATCTCTACAAAAAAAAAAAGTTAACAAACACAAATTAGCTGGGCATGGGGGCACGTGCCTATAGTCCCAGCTATTCAGGAGGCTGAGGTGGGAGGATTGACTTAGCCTGGGAGGTAGAGGATGCATTGAGTCATGATCCCTTCACTGGACTCCAGCCTTGGCAACAGAGTAAAACCCCATCTCAAAAAATTAACATTAAAAAGAACAATATTTCAGCAAATTGAGTTCTAAGGATTTAATTGTCTTTTATTAGTGATTCATAAATTGGTCCACATCCTATCTACAGAATAGAAAGGCACTTGAGTGAGATGAGCAGAAGGTGTGAGCTTCATAGGCCGAAAAAGACTGAAGAAAGCAGAAGCAAGGAACAAAAAGAGGATTGCTCATTTCAAAATTACATTCCTTATAGGGTTAAAGTAGAGGGACCTCTTTATTATTCTATCTCATGTCTTCATTTGTTCCTAGGAATCTCCTTTATTTTGGAAAACTGACGCATTTCTAAGTTCAGTTTGATTATGTGACACATAGCATGAGTGACTCCATTCTGGCTTGGTCTGGTCTGTTGTGGCCTAATGAAGAAGCTCAGTCCAAAATAATGGCCTCCCATACATTTTATTGAATATGATCTATAGTCTAGTAAATGCCAGATTGGGTCAGATCTCTCAATAGACATTTTTCCTGATAGCCTCTGGAAGGGCCTCTGTAACAACCCCTTGGTTTTAGTCCTGTTGTGTTCTTTGAACCACTGTTCCTTGCAATTTCTTACAGCATCGATAGAAAACTAATATAGTTATCATAATTATTACTACTTTTATAATATAGTAATGTATAAAGAAGTTTTTTCTTTAAGGTGTTAACAAAAACACTATTGAAGGATTTAACTAAAATAGTCTATAGATATAAAAACTGTTAGAGCTTCACATATCCCATTTTATAGAATATTACTAAATTAAACCTTAACTTCATATTTTATTTTAGATGATTTGATTTGGCAGGTTCATACTTCATTGCCCATAATACAGTGCTGGCTCTTCCCTTTTATTGTCCAATATATTCTGTATTTTCCTATAGTAGAAATCACAGGCCCTGGATCCTTTAGACATTTAGCACCTCAGGCTTTGTTTCTTTCAACGGTTTTAGCAAAATTAAGATCTGAAAGGTGGTGTTTGATTTTATCTTCTATGTAAAAATAGCAACTGTTTTCCATAGCCTTTTGCATCTGAGTTTGTGAGCATATTGGAGTTGCTGCTACATGCACATTTTCAACAACAAAGAACACAAAGCTGTTACCATTAGCCAACAGATTTTGCTTTAATTCTCATCTGTTGCTCAGATGCTATTGACTTTGCTTCTTTCTTATTTAAAAAAGATTGATTGCTTTAAGGTTCTCTTGGCATTACATGTGTGGTTTGAATATGTATTACTTTTTCCATTATCTGTGTTTCTCAAACACTCTCCTGAAGATAGGGTTTTGGGATGGGTTGTGAAGTTATACCATGTAGAATGGTACCTGGCCAAGGGGATGAGTGAATATTTAAGTCCTGCCTCCCTGTCCTCACCAAGGCTTTCATCATGAAAGTGTGAACATGTTAGCAGCGTTCCTGCTCTTGTTTGTGAAAAGCTATGTGTCTGCACTTTTTGATGTTAGCTGGTCCATTCATATCAATAATATGTAGTAGCATGGTTTAGCTTACTTGTTAATTTAACCTACTCCTGATTCTTTTGAAAAAATTACAGGGGATCTCTTTAATTAATATCTTTATACATGTTGTCTAATTCCAATATCCTTATACTTTGTTGATTTCAGAATTACCTACTTGCATGATTCAAGTGTGGTTCTTATATAGGCTGTGAATTATTATTATTATTGTTATTGTGGAAAAATATGCAGCTTAGGAACCTACCAATTTTGTAGTTTCTCTGTATGCTCTGTGCTTAGATTTTTCCATGATGTGCTTAACTTTCATGTACATTGTGCTCTTTATGGCACTAACCTGCAGGAAGACCGTTCATAGCTCCTTTCAGCCAAAGGGTGAAGCTCCAACCCCTTTAAAAGACAAGTCCATTGCTGTCACTCCTAGGCCACCTTCCTGGGGCCTAGCAGATTTTTCTAGGAACCGAAGAGAAATATCCTTTGACTAAGAAAATTTTACCTTGTCTAGAGGGGAAAACCCAGAGACTGGTTTCTGATTTCTTACTTAATAACCTTATCAATTCTTATGTTACTTAAACTAAATTTTGTTGTAGA